AAACCCTTCATGCATATATAATATGCATTTCATTTATTTTCTTTCTTTTAGTGAAATACAGTAGACTACTTTGAAAGGCTACAAAAGACACTGATCTTTAAATATCTCTGGGGGATGAAATGGGTGGTAGAAATACACACTCTCTATCATATCTTGATTTTAATTTGGGGCTAGGTAATGTAATTATAGTATACAAGTATCAAAAATATATTTAAAAGGACAAATAATGAGAAATTTCTCTATGAACCTCACAAGTAAAGGTGACCATTTCTTGTGTATTTGAAATAGGAATGCATATCTTTTTCCTCCCTTTCTTTTACTGTTTTTTTACTATAGCCTATATATCATTCCATATCAGTATATAGATGTCTTCCCCATTCTTTATTTAATAGCTTCCCATGAAGACTTATCAGAGTCTATAGCCAGTCTGTATAGTTGGACATGTAAGCTGTTACAAGATATGCTGTAACAAATAATTCTATGAGGAAATAACGTGGTATGACAATCATTTCAAGTGTGTACAGGCAAAGCTGCAGCATATATTCCCAGAACTGGGGTAGGAATGTCTACCATTCAAGTACTAACCAGGCGCAACCCCGTTTAGCTTTCAAGATCAGAAGGGACTGGTTAAGTTCAGAGTATATGGACATAGACTGGGGCTGCATTGTCAAATAAACAATCTGATTCAACTGTAATTGAATATAAGCACATAATTTCAGAATACTACATTGCCCTGTAGAGCTCTTATATTACTTTTTCTCCCTCCTATCCCTTATTAGCTAATAACTGAGAAAATATGAAATAAATCATTACTCTACAGAGGTGTGATAAGTACACAATTCTCTTAGCTTTTCAAAATGTATTTAGTTTTAAATGTGTTTTGAGGGGTTGAAGAGATGGCTCAGCAGTTAAGAACACTGACTGTTCTTGCAGAAGACCCAGGTTCGAATCCCAGCCCCCACATGGCAGCTAACAACTCCAGTTCCAGGGGATCTGACAGCCTCTTCTGACCTCCGCGGGCATTGCATGACATGGGTGCACTTCCACACATATGCAGGCAATACACACATACACATAAAATAATAATAAATAAAATATTTTTTAAAATGTGTTTTGGAGCAGAGCTGAGAACCGAATATACATCACTCTAAATTTTATAAAGAAGACATTTAATATAGGGCGTGTTCACATTAGAAAGAGCACATCAACTGTGGAAGGCACAGATGGCTTCCTGGTTGCTTCTGGCTAGCTTCTGTGTGAGAAAGAGAAATGCTGCCACCAACACTTGGGATGTTGCCTGCTGCTATCAGTCAGGCCTTGATGCTGCTGAATCTGACCATCACTCACAGCTAGGTCTGGTGCTTTCCTGCTGAACATAAACAATTACAGAGAACATCAATATCAGATGAGGGTACTCTGTCAAAGTGAGGAATCAAGATAAAGACAGGATCACTCTAATCCTATTTGGACTCAGATAATAACACAAAATGAGCAAGCCTTGCCTTCACCTGAGAATTAAGCATGACTGTATTTCTTTTACCAATAATATATTTGTATTCCTAGTCTTCCCACTTCTAGATAGGATTTCCTAATATGCTCAATCATGGAAATGTACTTGTTTACTGATGATGTCCCACGTAGAGCAAAGCCCTGCCTCCTTTAAAACCTCCCTCACTTCAGTCAAACCTAAAATTCATTAACTCCTTCCTAACAGCCTTCTGCAGACTTTAGGGTCACACACTGGGCTAGGTGGTGCATTTGTAGACTTTAAGTATCAAAATACATTTAAAAGGCCATATAATGAGAAATTTCTCTATTTACCTCACAAATAAAGGTGATGACTTTATTTAATGTATATTTTTTAGTGCTATTTGTATGTGTGAATATGAATGCTAGGCAAGTGCTTTGCCACTGAGTCACATGCCCAGCCAACACTCCCTGCAAGGTTCCACTGCAAAGAATCTAAATTGTTAAGCTTCAGTATGCCCTTGTGGACACTTGCTGGAGGGCACTGCACCTTTGACACAGTGTCCTGTATACCTACTATGTGTCAGTGAACTTGGTTTTTGGAATATTAGTTCTGGTTGGGAATGGATATTGTTTAATGGACATAGGGGGTTGCAGGCTCTGAAGTCAGCCAGCAGTATCACAGCCAAGACAGGATCTCCTGGGGTGGCTGCTAGGGATCTTTCTACTACACTGCAAGACATTCTGCTTATTCCATATTATTCTAAACTACTTCCCAGTTGTGTTCCTAATTAATGACACAAGCCATTTTGGTTATTTTTTGGAAGCACTTTCCATGAAGCAATGCCTCTCTGCTAACATTTCACTCTCTTAGGGAAGTCACTAGACAGGATGAATGCAGAGTGAAGGAGCACGCATTCCGAGAAATACTGAGATTGTGCTGGACTGTACTTCTGTGCAAAACTGAATAGGAGCCAGGATGAATCACAGGTT